GAAGGATGCTTGGTGATCATGGCCTTTTGCAGTGAGATGTATACCAGTAGATGCGCTTTGGAAAGCTCATTCCAAATCTGTGCTCACTATCTGCTGTGCGACTTTCTGGACGAAGTTGTGGACTTTTCATATTAATCTCACGAGATCTAGTCAGCCATATACTCAGTTATATTGGTGACAGTTCTTCTGCGCTTACAGGCAACGTCCAGGCAGAATTTCGACTCTCATTTTTTTGCCTTATCCAGGCCTGTTCATGGCGCTGATTCCAAAAATGGCAATCATGATGCGTTAATACTTTGTGTTTAGTTGTGATGAGAAGTTGAAAGTTAATGTGGAAGTACAAGTCAGCTCAGCACAACTATGATTTTGGAGGAAAGATAATGAACAAACATAGTTATTGACGTTTCGACTGCATGTAAGAGACCGTCATGGTACCAAAAAAATTGGTCTCCGGTTTTTGCTTGATTAAAAAAAGCGTGAAAGAGGTAATTTTTCCTATTACTTGAAGAGGTTCATCCAAAACCCTAGGAACAGAGGTGCGATAGGGGGAGCCGGGTCCCCCAAAAGTGAAGGTGGTTTCAGCTACCACTGGCCGGCCAAAAGTGAAGGTGGTAGTGTCGGACACTCACCTCCCAAAAACGTCGACGGGGGGGGGGGGGGGGGGGGGGGAGGTGCGGGGGGAGGATAGAACGGACGAACGGAGCTATCTTTCTAGGTCTAACGTCGACCCAACGGCCCTCTTTAGGGCCACAGATACGATGAATATTAAAAATATCTATAAATTTTATTTATAAAAATTTAAAATAGACGTGTTTAGTAAATGGTGTATTTGGAAGTAGAAGTTTGTTGGACTGTACGGATTTTATTAAGCAAATTTTGTTATAACGTACAGCGAAGAAAGTAGATCGATCCAGGCAGTAACGGCCGAGAATCAGAATTTCGAATAAATAAATAGTGAAAATCATGCAAAATTTCCACTGTTATAAATCTGTTGTTTGAAGATGTCAGCAGTTGCGACTTCATAGGTTTTAAAGAGTAAATGTTGCTCTATCAGCTAGTGAAGGAATCTGGTCGATTTAAGAAATAGTCGTTGAAAACCAGAGTTCTAAAACTTTACGCCATTTTTGCGTGTTTTTTGACTGTTGAGAGTTAAACTCTTATAAATCTTGAATGTGGAAGTGTATGATGTTGCGACTTCATAGGTGTTATAGAGTAAGGTTTGCCTTATCAGAATATGTCTTGTCCGTTCCGATCCATTGAAACACGTCCGAGATCCAGAGTCATGAAAAAGCAGGTAAAAAAGAGCTTTTTGAACTTCAACAGCTCATAACTTCTTCAGAACTGCATGAATCATGTTGCGACTTCATAGGTTAGATTCCTCTCATCAAGGGCTTTCAGATGATATATAATATGTGGGGGTTTAGAGCCTCCTGCGAATTATGACCGGGGGGGGGAGACTTTTTAGGCCAAAGTCTCCCCCTCGCCATTTTAATGTATTGGCTGGAGGCTGCCGGGGGAGACTTTGGCCTAAAAAGTCTCCCCCCCCCCGGGCATATGCCGTAAGAGGCGCGAAACCCCCACATATTATATATCTTCTGAAAGCTCTTGACGAGAAGAATCTAACCTATGAAGTCGCAACATGATTCATGCAGTTCTGAAGAAGTTATGAGCTGTTGAAGTTCAAAAAGCTCTTTTTTACCTGCTTTTTCATGACTCTGGATCTCGGAGGTGTTTCAATGGATCGGAACGGACAAGACATATTCTGATAAGGCAAACCTTACTCTATAACACCTATGAAGTCGCAACATCATACACTTCCACATTCAAGATTTATAAGAGTTTAACTCTCAACAGTCAAAAAACACGCAAAAATGGCGTAAAGTTTTAGAACTCTGGTTTTCAACGACTATCTCTTAAATCGACCAGATTCCTTCACTAGCTGATAGAGCAACATTTACTCTTTAAAACCTATGAAGTCGCAACTGCTGACATCTTCAAACAACAGATTTATAACAGTGGAAATTTTGCATGATTTTTCACTATTTATTTATTCAAAATTCTGGTTCTCCGCCGTTACTGCCTGGATCGACCTACTTCCTTCGCTATACGTTATAACATAATTTGCTTAATAAAATCCGTACAGTTTTGCTAAGCTTTACTTCCAAATACACCATTTACTAAAAACCTTTATTTTAAATATATATGCCGCCGTATACATAGATATATGCTTTCAATAATCTTTTTTGCGTTTGTTTTGCTTATTTTCCTTCTTTGTCGTCCAGCGAAAAATGTTTTATTCCAAAAGTGAAGGTGGTCACCCCGTACCAGCTCAAAAGTGAAGGTAGGGGGAGACTTGGCTCCCCCTATCGCACCTCTGCCTAGGAACCTAGGAAGTGCTCAGAAGTTTTTTTCGTGAAGCGAACGCACAAGCTCGTTTCGGTGAAAGGTGGCTGCTAAATTTGACGAGAATTCCACGTTTGATGTTTCGTGAGAAGGGATTTTGAATTATTATTGGAGAGGAAACAACAAACAACAAACAGAAAACAACAACAAGGCAACAACAAAAGAAAACAAAACAAACAAAACAAGAAAACAACAACGATGTTCAAACAGGTTTTGTTTGTAACAATTCCTCCAGTTTTCGCCCAAAGTATGATAATGATCTTGAAAGTTCAGAAAAGCCGATAAAGGACAATAAGCACGTAGCACGAAGTTACAGCGATTGAAACTGAGCGCCAAATAATCACTTTTTTACTAATGCGATGATACCTTCACGATTGAATACTGCTGAACAAATAGGAAAAGCTGGTATCTTTCTTCTTCCGCGTCTCTCTCTTGCAAATCAATAATCGCAATCGTTATCAATGCGCACTCCGTATTTGAAGCAATCGTTGCACTTCACAAGTAATCAATGAGCTGCTTCACGAACTCCTTGCTAACTCGGACTGATCTTGCTTCCTACTTTCATGCCTGAATTTGGGATGACTTCGACTAACACGGTAGACCTGGTGGCCGCACTTTCCGTAAATAAACTGGTCCTCTGATGTTTCTTGAAATGAAAGTTGGCAAGTGCAGCCGTCTGCATTTGTCAGTTTCTGTTAACTGAAAACTAATGGCTTGAATGTTTGTAAGATTGTAAATTTTCTTGCATTTCTCTAGCTCTAGTCTCACAACATCTAAAGCGATCAATTTGCTTACTTCAAAGGATGATTTTTCTCCAAAAAATGTTTGCTGATGTCGAGTAAAAACAAAGTCGTAGACAAACTATATATACATATTTGAGTTAGATATGAATAGTGCAAATTAGGAATGGATCCATAACATCATACTAATTTCACCAGACTAAGGAACAATCTAAACTTTTTTCCGGAAAATGAGCACCATACACCTAAAGCTGCTCAAGCAGTATTTGCGTTGCTGATCACTGAAAAGAATCACTGTTTGAGAATAAGCTGACTTAAGAACAATGTTTTGCTGTTAATAATCTACTGCGATCTCCCGATTGCTAGCTTTATTCGTCAGCCTGGTTCCATCATAATTTGCTTCATTGATCTCGAATCCTGTTTTGGATCACACCTCATTCCATTCGCATTATTTGTGTGCTTGAACTGAATAGAGAGATAATGTAATACGATAGAGCGAATAACCACCAACAAATTGACTCTTTTGTATGAAATTCTTGCTGTAAGCTCAGTGCATGGCTTTAGAAAATACCTTAAATTCCTCCTTTCTATCACGAGTAGTATATGTGCAGCCATGAATGATCTTCATTCTGTATCATTCGTTTGCAGGCTGCAGCATTATTGGATAAGCCCTCCTATCCCAATGACGACGACAGTGTTGCAAATTCTGCAAAACTGTGAATCAATTGGCAACGATTTTTTGCGCACATTCAAGGACTATCCGTACTTCTTAGCGGCAATCAAAGCTATTAGAAATGGAATTGTGTGAGTAACGCGCACTCTACTTTGTTCAAGTTTGATCTCAATTGCTAAACTCATCGTTGGCTGAGTTGTTACGATGTTTGACTTTTTTCTGTAGAATCATTCGGAACACACACAAAATCACCATGGACGTCAAGTAGAAAATTATTTTCGATAAGTACGCTCAATAGTATGTATGCACCGATATCCGTGATTTCTATTGCCCAATGGAGAAAGGCTGTTTTTTATGCTCTATAACATTCGCTAAAATCACATCTTATGAAAGCTGAAATGTATTGCCTTTGTTCTAACAAGAAGGTCGGTTCAGTCGAAGTAGCTTTTTTATGGATCATATACTATTTTGAAGGGCGTTAAACGCTGATTCCCCTCTGGACGCCGAGTTACTAGCGTTCTTTGGGTTGAAAAATTGAATGCGTAATTTGAGCAAAAATTCATCAGAATTGCTCAAATGGTCCAATGTTGGTTATCAGAGCACTCCATTTTAAAGGATACCTCTGTCCAAAACACTCATACAACGTGTTGCTCTATTTAGGCGCAGAAAAGTCCGTGATGTTAATTTTACTTAAATTCTGCGTTCATTTTTCGCTCCAAAAACATTTTTAACTCGGCACGCAGAAGCGCTCGGCAGACAATAAAACAAGATTCGGAACTAGCGTTTAACGCTCTTCAAAATGATATATAACTTATTCGGAAAGGCCACTTCGACCAATCGGACTTCCGTTGTTAGTTCAGTCATGAAGAAATTTTAATTCTAAAATAACTTAGTCAATGATGAAACCTTTCCAGAGTAACACGTTTCGAAATGGATTATCAATTTGCAGATGCAGCTCATAGTGTTAATTCACTCACATCAAATTTGAACAAATCAGCTTTTTTAGCTATGGAGTTAAGGTGCGATTACCCCATGCCTTCGTCATGGTATTTCTGTTCGGAGAACAAGCGTAAGTATCCCGAATTTCTCTTTTTCATTATCAGCAGCAAATTAATTATTTGCGAATTACTTTTATGAAGACTTCGTGTTACAGATTTATACAAAAGATATTAACAATTTTGCGGATGACAAAGACACATGCGTTGAATCTTGCCAAGTTCTCATTTTCCTATCGACTTTTGAAAGAGCTCATTATGCGGCTTGATGGTGTAAAAGGCATGTTCAAGTCCTTGGAGGATTTGGATTTTCCCTTCAATTTGTGTTTTATAGGAGGCGTGCCTCGTGAATGGCACTCATTCGTTGCTGCTGGTATTATTGGATATTTCGTATTCGGTGAAGACAATCCTGTAAATGCACAGGTTTGCATAAGTCTAGTCATGAGAATACACACTGTAGTGCACAGCTAACCCTCCAAAAGACTGAAAAACTTATTCTTTTTCGTCTCAATCTTTTTTTTTAAAAGAAATTGTAGTCCATCAATGCTGATGTTTCAGCCAGCTCTGCATCAAGTACATCAGGCAGTTGAGTCAGCACTACTCTAATTTTAGGTTCTTATTCAAAAGTGGAAGCTGATTCTATTAAAAGCACAGTGTTGCTTTTACAACGTGTTGCTCCCACTCTTGTTAGTACAACGCCGCCCCTAACTCGGGTAAAAAATATGACTGTGGCGTACTTACTACTGGGTTCAAGATGATTTTCATGGGATTAAACGGTGATTTTCGGGAAGCCAGTGGTAGAAGGATTCGAAGAACAATTGTTTTTAAGTTTATTTTCATCGAAAAGGTTTTCTATGAATCGCCGCGACGAAAAAAATATGAAGCCGTTGCATGCTAAATTCAGAAAAATTTTACAAATTCACATTTTTTGTTATATTATTAGAGCGGATAGGAATTGATGAAACACCGAAACAAACATGTAAAACTTCTATTCATGTTGAGGTCATGGGGTGACGGTTTCATGGCGATTTTCCTATCGCGGCGACACAATGAAAACCTTTTGAACGAAAGCAGTATATTTAGTGATTCTTCGAATCTTTGTGTCACTGGCTTTCCAAAAATCACTGCTCGATCTTAGGGAACGGCCATAGGTTGTCGGCAACGGTTGCCGAAGTTGCCGAGGTTGCTGGGGTTGCCGAGATTGCTGAGGTTGCCGGCGTTGCCGGTCGTTGTAGGACCTCATGATAGCCTCCACGTTTCGCGCGCTCTTTAAAGGCAGTGTCTCACCAAAATTTAGTTGCCGAAATTTTTGCATTTTGCAAGCCTGTCGGACCCTGTCTAGCACTGTATGGGCTTAAAATCGCACGAAGTTCCCAAAAACCCCGTTTTCTGGAGGCCCCGCGGAAGCAACGTGGACGAGTTGTACCTTCCAACTTCAGCCTCAGCCACAGTGGCAGCAACACAGGGGAGCTGGATGCCAAGTGGAGAGACATGTTCAAACGCGTAAGTAGGGAGACCGAAGGAGTGGTCCGCGCGTACCAACTGGCTCTCCGCGTACCACTTTGAGTGAATTTTTCTCAGCGTAGAGGGGGTCAAATTGAGTGGGACTTGTTGCAATGGCCTATCTAGAGGTCCCTATAATAGAATATGTAAAGATCCCCGCGACCTCAACTTTGGTGAGACACTGCCTTTAAGCTGTCTCTATCTCTGACTTCGGCAGAGCCGGCAACCCCGGCAACCTCGGCAATCTCGACAACTGTTGCCGGCAACCTAAAGCCGTTCCCTTATGAAGATCGTTTTAAACCTAGTTAACCTAGTTGGACAACGGTTTTCTCGATTAATATGCCGCGGGTGGGGAAACGAAAACCGCTAGTTTGAGCCGATTTTCGCAGCTAACTGGTCCTTTCGCAGTGTTGTTGCATGTCGTTCCAGGACCAGCAGTCCGCAGGGGCGGCCCAAATTGGCGGCTTTCGTTCCCCTACCCATAGGCCGCAGTCCGTTCTTGAGCCGAGTTGGCATTATTTACCAGAGGGACTACTAGATGCCTGGGAGTGTCCGTATAATTTGATGCCAGTCCAAAGTTACTCCGTAATAAATGCCATATCAAGGAATAGTCTTGCAAGTCTAAAAATAATTACGTCATTCAGTCAATTTGCACTTTGTTCACCTGCCTTTGAGTGACATTTATTCTTAACCGCAATCCAATAAGAATCAATTTCAAAACATGTTTGCAAAATACTTTTTGTGTGTGTAGAGCGCAAGCTTAGCAAGCTATTATATTTGCAGATTAACATGTACTTACTCTCACGGATCATGATTGGTATCGTGAAGTTGCTACTTAAAAAGGAAGTGCTACCAAAGCCAAGTAAGTTACTACTGACATATTTTCGCTGATACTTGGCAGGTTTTTCACTTCAGATCAAACTGTTCTTTTATTTTGAGCGATATCATAATCTAGCTCAAAGAGTTAGCAAATTACTCAAGCACAAATCGTAAAAAAATGATTTGATACTTTTTCTTCATGAATGTCTTGTAATCGATTTAAGCAGTTCAGCTGGCTAACATAATTTCAACAAATTACATTTCAGACTTCCACTTCTATCCATTATACGCCGCATTTTGCTGGGCTGCATCGTTATGGTTATTTGAGCACCATACCGACGTCTTGCAAGGATCCTTGGTAAAAAGCATGACATATCTCCACAAAGACATTGACTATTGGTCTGATTTCAAAACATTTTTAATCAAAAATAAGTAGATTTGTTAAGTTAGTTCATCATACTCAGGCACATTAGTGATATCGTTTCTAAAGCTTTCATTACCAATAATTTTTTCTTTTCTGTGTCCTTGGTGCGTCGTACATCATGCCTGGAGCTGATTTGATGCCTTTCAATTTTTTTTTGTTTTGCAATGTATCCTTGGAATAATTCTATTGGTAAACCATTGTTGTCCTACTTCAGGTGATTTTCATAAGTTCCCCATAGACACGCAATCCTGTTCTGAAGCTTTGTATTTAAAAATTAAAATTTATCGCCTGATCTACTTTGGCCTTGTACATAAGTTTTCGCGTACTATAGATACTGACATTGAATAAATCTCCTTTGTTGCTATCTCAAATGCATGGAAAATGCAAAGAAGCCTTTGTGCAACGGCTGTCCGGACAATCTTTTCGGTCTTCGAGATCACGCAAAAAAATGTAAGATGGGGAAGTTGGTGCCAAAAGCTTTTTTGGGTTGCTTCTCAGATTTTTTGCAAATTTGAAATCACAGATGCAAACACCTGTGAACCATTTCAAATCGTGACTGTTCGGGGAAGGGTCTGCCTTCGTGATTTTATTGTTATGCATGATGTTCGCAGCAGAGATTGAGGCAAAAATTTGTTAATACAGGATGTGGAAGACGCTCTAAAATAAAAATACATAAAGTCTGGAAGCGGTAAAAGAGGTACATATGCTTCATGGCCATAAGAAATTTATGGGCAAGATGGCACACCTTTTAGAAGATTCGTTTGTGTAGGATGATCGATTGAATTGCAGGGAACAAGAAGGAATTTAGGTGCTTAATGCTTGTAAATAAAATGCTCTAATTGGATTACGCTGAGCTAGTGCTAGGATGATCATCTGAAACCAAAAGCTTGAGCTACTAATAAGCATTATGCATCTTTTTCTTCTGTCCTTCGTTCTGTCTTTGCAGAACGTAGCTTCAGCTTTGGTAAAGTATTCTTCAGATGTTAAAACACTGATTGTTTGTAGATTTCGAATGTGAATTTATTGTTTGCGAAGAAGTGCAAGACTTTTTTTTTGCTGAAAATGTGGTGGAAAAGGGCATATGTATTCAGCACATATGTGCCTAAATTCATTATTCATTCTTCTCATAAAAGGTCAGTAAACAAATTTTTGATTTGCACATTAACGTCTTCGGTTTTTGAACCCAAAGATACATCAGAATATTTGTTATATCACAGAAAAAAGGTTAAAAAGAGCTGCTTTTCTTCGATGGGCGCTCAATAAATTGAACGGTTTCGTTGGCAGGATGATCGATGGCCCATTTCACATGAAGCTCGCTGGCCATTCCTGCACGAATTGACAGAGTCCATTCCAAAATGCTTCCCTTCATTTTCGCTCCCTGTCTTGGAGTTTCCGCAGCGATGGTGAGGTCTTCTGCAAGGCTCAACCTAATTTAGGTTCAAAGGACTCCGGAGAAGATACCTAGTTTGTTATTCGAGTTTGCTTCATCTATTGGTGCAATTGTTGGGTTGATGAGTCTTATCTAAAAGGAATTCAAACCAGCCGAGCACATGCTTGCTACAGATGACGAACCCTTATTTTCTCATCAGTACTTCGAGGTATAGGTTCCTTCAAAGTTAGCAGAACAGGGTCATTGCGCGTGTTTTTGATCGTAATCAGTTGGTCATGTACGGTAGATGAGCTTTTTGATATAAGTCCGGTCTGAAATATTGCTTTTAGTTGGACAAATCTAAGCTTAAAACCAAACGAATCGAACGAAAAAATTTTTAGTTGAACTTTTCAAAATTAGTCTTTATTCACTTTTGTTAAAAATTTTTTTCACTCTTGCTTAGACTGGAAGCGTCTGCGATAACCCAAACTCAGTTTGAAGAAGAATAATCTTTCTCAACTCAAGTTGAAGTTATAGAAATTCATGTTCTAGAGAAGAGATTTATCTTTATGGATTTTCCGTGACTATAATCCAGGGCAATTATTAGGTTGTAACAGAATTAATGCAGGTACTCCAACTATTGAATTTGAATTGCTATAACATTTTACAAAAATAGCCAATTTTTTCAAAAGAAGTTGTTGCAACCAGCAGGCCTTTGATGATCTGGTACGCATTACAATGTCATTGTAGATTCACTGAGAAAATTTCTATACTCGAAGACTGTCAGTAGTTTTCTTGTAAAACCTTCATTTTGAAAGGGCATAACTTACTTAACAATAGTAGAATTATATAAGTTTTACTCATTATGTATACAATAGTCGCTTATGCAACGTTAAGCTTGCATTTTACGAAAAAGATTTAGCCAAAATATATTGCCAAAAGATTTGTAACTTGCTCATTCTTCTCAACTTCTCCGAAAAGGCGAAAAAGTGCCTTCTTGCTGTTTTTCAAATTCTCCATCCGCTAAAGACTGCTATCAAATGTTCTATGCTTATTCTTTCTGCACATGCGAAAGCTCTGCAATTGCTTTGCAGCACTTAGGATTTTTATACGCCGCAAAATGATAGCAGCGGTTGTTTGAGTTTGAGATGAAATTCCTTAGTCTGGAAACTCCTGAAAAATTTGCTTCAAAGTGTACTTTGTAGCACAGAACACTTACAAACATTACGCTAGTTTGCGAAAAATCCTGGCTCTTCGCGGTGGATTTAGAGCAAAGAGGTAAAGAGAAAGTTTTCCAGGAATTAGTCTCTTGATTTCAGAAGCACGGAAATTCCCAACAAACCCACTCCTTTTGAAACGAAAGCATGCCTAAGAAAGTAGAAGAAAAGTACTTTCAAAATAATATACACAGTTTTCTGAGACAGCATAATTTTTTTGTGAAACGCATATCGAAAAAGTGGTTTGAAAAACCTGCGTTAATTCTATTACAACCTAATATAATGACAAATGCAAAACTTTTTAATGTGGACCTCCGCAATGTTGAATCATATGATTGTTATCAATATTAAGTCAGAACTAAAAGACATAGGTCCAAACCTGCTCATGATATTTTTTGACTGGCTTGTACTCGATCCGCAGAGCTGTATCAACTCCCAACGAACAAGAGAACCTTTCACCTGGCGATACGTTACTTATGGTACCCTGAAGAATTGTCCGAAAAAATAATCTCATAGCAGGATTTGGAAACCAAAACCTACTTTCGATACAAAACTATTGTTCAGATAAACGGAAGTTTCGCCGGCTAAGAACGGAAGGTCAGAATTATTCACCGCCGAAGCAGTTAGAAACGCGCTGGTATTCTTGGAGGGGACGCATTCGTGAACCAAAATAGGTTCAACATCAACTATCCCAATGGTAACCTGGAAGGTATATGAGGGTTAGATTCTCCCAAAAAGGTGGTCTAGCACGTACTTTGTGCTCGGCTCCATCAGATGGGATTGCTGCTGGTTTGGACACTACAAACTCAGTACTTAGAGCATGTGCCTCGTCAGGAGCAACCAGCGCTACCTTGTCAAAGATACCCATCACTTACTAAGGCGGAAATACAAAATTCGACTTACCTTAGCTTGAGCAAGCTTGGGAGCTTCAACTTCTTCCATGACTAGCTCCTCATCATCCATCACAGATAAAGATTCAGTCATAGCAAAAGGCATGGAACCACTTCTAGACCCTCTGGTTGGGCTCCCGCTGAGGATAAGAAGCCATTCAAAAATTGGAAAAAATCTATTTTTTGCTCACATTTTTCGTCGCAATTTCACTGGGAAAGGGTGTGGTTCAGCAGGAGGCGTTGGACGATAAAATACGGCTTCCAAGACACCTAGTTCCGGTAGATGTCCTCCCAGAGATGGTTGAGCCGTTGAAAGTACCTGTAGTGGAGTTAAAAAATAGCTGATTCTTCATAATTGAGAACTTACCAAAGAAGCATTGGACCAGTCTTCCTGGGTTGATTGTGAAATGATTCCATAATAAACAATCTAAAAGACCCAAACATTGCCAGGAGTAGGTGAAAAAGAGCAAACAGAAGAATTCCGACCTTAAGAGATTGGTGTTCGCCCGTTTCCACCCGGATATCGTATGACGGTCTCCAGGAAGCACAGTCAACCTGATAGGTAATCTCCAGCTCAACTTTACCGCCTTCTATACTTTCAAGGGTAACAATGATTGTTCTGTAACAGGAGATTTTGCTTACTCGCAAAAAAAATTCTTCATCAGTAGCGAGCCGAGGGAGGGAAAGCGAGGGGAGGGAAGGGGGGGGGGGGAGGGTAAAGGGCATTCTTGAAAAATTTGTAGTAAAATTGTGCACGACTTCAATTGACATTTTATTACAAATTTTGAAATATTCAATTTGGTCTTGTAAAAAAATTTCGGGCGTAACTGCCTCCAAGCCCCTTTTTTAAAATCTCTTCGGGTCATAGGCCCGTTGAATTTTGGGGAGCCCACCAGTTTTTGGATAGGAATAGGGTTTGTCACACCCCTTTATTTAAAAAGGAATTCTGTGCCCCCCCCCCCGCCCCGCCCTCGCCAAAAATTATCTCTCGTACCGCCTCTACCTCTTTATGTCTACTAACTTGCAATGATGAAGAATAGTAGAATCAACACTCTCCTGCTCAAGCTGTAGTCGCAAAACTGCGAGCTCCCTTTCCGCCTTTTCGAGGCTTTTTTGAACACTCCGATGTTCTAAGAAAAATTTTCAAGTGCCCACATAAATTGAGATTGTTTACCCGCTCGAATTTCAGTAGAACTTTTGTCGTAAAAGCTAAAGAATGAAGTGAGGTTGTCTAGTGTCCCATTATCCAATGTAAACGAATCGTTTTCTGTCTTTGGGCGCGAAACGACAGCGCTACCAACCTAAACGTAGAAAAGCACATTATGCCCATATTTCCAATATAAAAGGTCAAAAAGTCATGAAAAATTAGCAAACCTCTCCGACGACTCTGTCCAGCACCTCGATTCTTCTTTGCAAAATACCAACCCTATCTTGAAGTGTGTATACCTCCTGTTCCTTTTGCTCAATGTTTGTTCGTAGTTCCTTGGCCTAAAAAAGCTCTAACTAAAACGAAAACATTCCGATGAGATAGGGACATACTTTCGGTGAGTCTGTATCTTCGGGTGTAACAGATTTATCCTGAAGTTGGACGTCATGAATAAAGCCATCGCCTCGACCATCGACGCGAACCGAATCATATATGATATGATTAGTTACGTTCTGCAAATATATGAGAGCAGATTTACAAAATGATGATATGCTGGAAGAGCTCCGCGGCAAATTCACACTGATTTTCTGATTTTCAGAAGGGCCTCCTTCCCCAGTTTATTTTGTCAAAAATTCTTCAATTCAGAGCTTTACCAACAAAAATGTAAATTTGTAGCAGTTTGTGATTGTATGAGATAAATATAATTATGAAAAATGCAGAACCGCTAAGGACGGTGATCTACCATATTTTCCTTGACTTCAAGCCACCAATACATTGGAAAACGCATAAATAATATATATGCATAAAGTGAGATGATCCATGAACAAATAAATACTTAGGAATAACATAAGCCTAAATTGAATGAATAGATATACGAACAATTCAGAATAATGAATGAGTGGAAGGTTCGTGACTTTTTTAGGGATGAGGATCCACTTTAATGATACGTCTTTTAATTTTCGCAAGCATTACGTGCTTCATGGTTTATGTAGGGTTGTAGTGGTCATCTTGTAAAATGTGCATTCTTGTATCAAACACCACTATAGAAAAAATATAATTTCTTTCATCTGGAGAGAGGAATTCTGAGACAACGAAACATAAAGTTGATGAAAGGGCACTTGTGCATTAGTAGTGAGTTACTCTTTCAACTTTTATACACATCACTTTGTCTTTGAAATTGTAAATTTTCCGTTCACTGTCAATCACTCTTACAAACGAATTTCTGGGTTACAAAAATTCAGTCTCGCTAGCCCTTTGAGTTTTGGTCAACAAATGTCTAATTGCAGGGCTCAGAACCATTTCCATAAATGAAGATAGCACATATTAAGAGAAGCGTGTGAGGTTGGACTTACCTCAAGGTATACGTCATTTAGACCGGGTTTCAGCTCACACTCCACTACACGTTTCAATTCAGCTCGATCATTGAATACAACCACTCGTGCGAGTTGTTGGTCGCGACACTCTTTTTTGATCACAGTGGGTGCACCTTCATCCAGCATCTGTGAAATCCGAAATTTGGATAATAAGGCAAAAATAATCCGTAACTATTTTGAAAAAGAGGAACAATGACGGCAAGACACATGAGCAAACAGCTGAAATATCGCACATTGTGAAAGAAAGCACTAAAAATTGATTTTATTCTGATGCATCAAATGTAGGCGCAGCAATACAAGCAAAAAAGTGCAATTATGCGCGTATCTAGGTGAGTGCATAATGACATTTTCTATGGTAACGGAGAGAAAATAGATACAGCTCATTTTCAAAGTTAAAAAAAGCTACATAAGGTTGTATTTATTTCAATTACAGAAAATGCAACATATGCTAATTTACAAGATCTAAAGTACAAAATTGAGTATGTGCAACAAGTATACATTTACAAATTAGCAAACAATGAAAAATTAAGTATTTTATGAGACAATGAATTACGATGTAACGTCACCGAACACATGAGCAAAATCGAACACAGGCACTCTCTAACAATGCCGCTCTATAAAGTGCACAGTTTCATTGGTAGGGTGCTCGACAGTCCATTTTACGTGAAGCTCTTCAGCTTTTCCACCCGGTATCGACACTGTCCATTCAAGGTTGCTACCGATCATTTTTGCACCCATCGTGGGCAGTTTTGCTTCCGATTTGAGATCTTCTGTTAAAAAAAGGTTTTATTACGACAAAACAAAGCATGGAAAGTATTTTAAGGTCAATACTATTGGATAAGCACTTTAAAGATTGAGTATAATTCGTTGTATGTTAAATACCTTTATATCTATTAGGTTGTCCCACAGGTATGAGATGCGGGGTACAATTAGAAAGATCAAATCAATCTCTACAAAATGGCTTTCAAAAGTTCGTACCAGACTTGTTCCACATCGAGTTTCAAGACAAAATGGAAAAAAAATCCAAAATTCCGAAAAACGAAAATTATGGTATCTCATTGTCAGTTCAAAAGCATTCTGCAAAGTTCCTACCTGCTCACGCACACAATTTCCCCATCAGCTATTTATATATACACTTGCTGCGTTTTTCTGATGGCTAGAAATCGAGAAAAAATAATGCGATCAATTTTCAAACTTTGCCTGTAATAGGTCTATGCTCTTCGCAAATATATATATTTATATGGCTTATTCCTCAAGGATACTCCCAGAAGATTGCACCCTTCTAGATGCCTTAGTTTTTGAGAGATATTAATTTGAAGGTACGACTATGGAAGACTTACGGGACAACCTGATATATGCGATTGATTTCCCACGATAGTAAATCGTTTTTCTGAACTATCACTGTGCATACAAATCCTTTAATTTAGATGTGATTGCAGTTTTGTCCTTCTTGAGACTGATTGAAGTTCTGCTTATCAGCTGATTTAAGATTCCCAACAGTATTAGAGTATGGGTATGACAGGCAAAGAAACTACACATTCAAAATGTATTTTGTTAGGTGAAAGGCACATTGAAAACCAAAGAGCTAGCCAGAAGAGAAAACAACTATTACTATTAAATCATAATATTATCGAAACTTTGATTGATCTTATAACTGTAGATTGTTTCAGAGTTCTATCCGTTTTCGTAGTTTGTGTTTGATTTACTACTTTACTGTCACTCATTTTAGGAAAGGTTATTGATTGGCAAACCTATGCATACTCAAAATTATTGCAGCGATAAGGAAAAAGATATCCTGGGCGCAAAACTCTAAACATCTTGTTTTAGGAATCTTCTATCTGCAAAGCCATAACTTGATTTGGAATATAGTATAAACGCACAACCACTGCTCATTGTGTCAATTCAGCTGGGGAGTGTTGCTAAATTTCATTCCACCGAATTTCATCATGAAGATTTTTGCAGAAAAAATTGAAAGGGTATACTACATATTCCCGCTTGTTCTAAGGTAGCGGAAAAGAGCTTCTTGAAATTTTTTCTTTTGATAAAAATTGAGTTCCTTTTATATATCTAGTAGGAAATGCTCTAAGCTGTTTTACTGATTAGAGCTAAAACTTCGTAGTTGCATTGCCTCTTATGATTTTTACATGGCTTGTAAAAATCACAGCAACAGATCATGTTCGGAAAATTGCATAGGTTCAAAATTTTTCTAAAATCATCTATCAACGAGCATTTCGTAACACAAGTGTCCAGTCAAATGTTACATATGTTTCAAAGAAAATTCATTTGCAGATTTCACGGCAATAGAGCAAAAAGGGAAATTTGCACAGGTGCTTTGATGTCACGTAATCACAGAATGAGCAAAGCTCTAGGAAAGCTAAAGTATGTATAAAAAACTAGAAGAAAAGAGCTTTCCAACGATATAATCAATGTCTTTAGATAGTAATTTCTTCTTCCAAAATCAGCAGCTGAATGAGAGGACAAAAAATGAGTAAAACTTTTGAAAAAAAGACATACACAATAGTTTACAATTATTTTAATGTTTGTTCCCACCATAAAAAGATCAATGGCAACTGCGCGTTTGATGCAGAATTTTACTCATCTTGTCTAGTAATCCTTTGTTTACATCACTCTTAGCTCAACTATCCAAATTAGAGTATCAATTGATACTTAATGACAGAAACATAAACTATACCTGACTTCTCCTGCGTTTCCTGTACAGAAGAAGGGGAGGGATTCACAAGTTTGATCTAAAAATTATTTCAAGGATGCTAATCCGTTCTCCGAACTCAGCTAGAAATTACCTTTATTCTTTCATCTGTACTTCGAGGTATCGGTTCTCTAATAGTCAACAATACAGGGTCATTTCGAGGGTTCTTCACCACTATCATTTGGTCATGCATCATCGATGAACCTTTGGTAAGGTAACCAACCTGCGCAACTTTTAATCAGATGTTTGGTTTGATGTGGTCTAATTTAGGCGAACCTGCTCATAAAATTTTTTTACTGGTTTATAGTCTACATTCAGTGATGTGTCAACTCCCAATGAAGTCGAAAATCTGTCGCCTGGAGAGACATTGTTCATGGATGTCTGAAGAAGATATAAAACTTTTTGAATATAAACAAAAATACACAAACAAAATCAAACCTTACAGACGAAACTGTTATTGTGGTAGATATGTGCGTCACCTTTTAGAAAAGGCAAATCCGAGGAATTAATCGAATGCGCAATAAGAAATACATTTGTATTCTTTGAAGGAACGCATTCGCGAGCTACTAACGGCTCAACATCTATGATGCCGATAGTAACCTAAAATCGAGAAAATTTGAGTCGATTAAACAATACGGGGAACTCCTACCCTGTGAGACGCACCATCGGATGGTATAAGTATTGGTCTGGCGATAGTAAACTCGGTGTTCAAGGGATGTGGTTCGGAGACCGAGGCAGTTGATACCTGAATTTTTTTTTTGCTGTCTAGAAAATCTTGAGAACCTATCCAAGTCTTATACGGGCAACTTCTGAGGGAGTATAAAAAAGGCTATCCATTGGCACGATTTCCAAATTTGTTGACGTAAGTTACAACAGTATATCAACCTCGACCTTCTCCTTTACGTTTTGAAAAATTCGTCATTCCTACATTTTTACAGATTTTTTTGAGGATTGAGCATCGTATATGTAGGCAGTTCGACTAGAGCTTTTAATAAAGTAGAAGTGAATCAAAAACTATTCCGAAAATTCCCAAAAGAAAATTAAAATCTAGAATTTTCATTTCTGACATTCACATATCAAAAAAACTGCGAACGAAGCAGTCTAGCGATAGGAAAAAACTTTTCTAGCTGTAGTTATCTTTCCTATTATTCTATACTTAACTGAAAACCAGACTTGCCCCAAATAGCGGCTTTGGTGGAGGTTCGGCAGATGGCGCTGAGCTGAACCCAAAGCGTTGAGCACTGTTTTGGCAAGCTGGTCCTGCAGCACCAAAGAGCGAAGTGGTATTTTGGGTGAATGGCACTCCACCAAAAAGACCTCCGCTCGAAGTAGAAGCTTGCTGGAGTGGTGGAGGGCGATGTATGACTGCTTCAAGTATTCCCAGCTTTGGTAACTTTCCTCCCAGGTAAGGTTGAGCAGTTGAGAGAATCTGCAAATAGACATATTAGAGCTTGAAGGCAGCGGCTCGGCAGAATGACAACTTTGGGATATTCATCGTTCTGGGTTCTCCTGGATGAGCTAAGTCCAAGACTGTGCTTTGCAACTCCAAAAGATATCAAAAACCCACTTTCCAGAAGTGAAAAGTGCTATTTGGGCGGGCCGCGTATGCTCGCTAGAGCGCGATTGGCTTGTGAGTGGAGACACTGTACCTACCGCTATGAGCCAATCGCGCTCTAGAGGGCAGGCATGCGCCGCCCGCCCAAATAGCACTTTTCACTTCTGGAAAAGCGGATTTTTGATATTTTTTGAAGCTGCAAGGCACAGTCTTGGACTTAGCTCATCCAGGAGAACCCAGAACGATGAATATTCCAAAGTTTTCATTCTGCCTAGCCGCTGCCTTTATGAGATCGTTCTTGTAAGTGGAAGATAATAACAACAAGAGTACCTACAAAACCTTCACTCACACTACACTATGATGGTAAACCACAAAGAATTTATGATGAATTCATAACTTCCGAAACCTCTAACATATTTTTACTATCTTCAGTTCCAAGAAATTTCCACAGCATCAATGTCTCGCATTTTTACTTGCTTTAGGTGTCTTTGACCCATCTTTCAGTACTTGCTGTTCTCTGTTTTAGATCTTCGATACATCCATGTACGTTGAAAATGAATTGGTAAATAAGTGAAGAAAAATCCTATTTGGTTAAAAATTCTACGTTTGCAAGCTTACCATTTTGGCACTTTTCCAGTCTTCATCCGTATTTTGAGAGATGTTGCCGTAGTAAGTAACCTCAAAGGCGGTAACTTCAATAATCTTATTGTGATCTTGTTCATTATCAAGCTGTACGTAAACTTACTTTCAATGAGTTCGTTTCCCTAGTGTCATAACGAATATCATAAGAGGGCATCCAACGGGCTTTATTCACTTGATAACTAACATCCACATCAACATCACCGCCTTTTTCGCTTTCCAAGGTGATAACAATTGTTCTAAATTTTTACTGTGCACCTTCTAGAGAGTTTATCTTGAAAACTATGAATTTATAAAGTTAAAGATTGTGTTTTCAGTATAAAGACTTAGGTACCTGATGTTGTTCTCACATCGGAAAAGTGACTCTTGCATATTCTTCTTAGAATTAGATGCCTTACTCAGAGCTTCTTCTGTAGCTTTCAGCTCTTTTCTCACGCTATATAAATCTGAAAATTGAAAAAAAATCTGAAAATGCATCTGCTAAAACCTCTTACCTGTTTGAAGTGCAATGTAATCTGTCTCAAGACTGTTGAGAAAAGTCTTTAAATTTCCCAAAAAATCTCCAAGCAACAAATTCATAGGTAATGTAACTCTCAATATATCTTGACTTGAATCATTTCGGTTTGAATTATTCGCGAAGCTGTCGCCAACCTAAAGATATGAATCAGTAGACCCCAAATACAACTCAAGGATAATGAATAATGAAAAAGTTACAAACATAAAGAGTATGTGGAAATAATAAATGAAGAAGTAAGGAAAATAAGAAAAAACAACGTCTTACCTTTACAATAAGTTTATCTAGGACGTCTATTCTTTTGACCAGTAAACTTTCCTTGACTTTCAGCAAATGTACCTCCCAAGATTTCTTATCAGATCCCTCTGGATTCGAAGGCTGAAATAACAGCTGTTATTGTTGGAAGCCATCCTCGACGAACTTGATACCTTCTTTTCAGAATCGTCCTTTTCTTGAGTGGGCTCGTGACGTATTTGGACATCATGAACAATGCCATCCCCTTTTCCGTCGACTCGAACTGATTCATCCACTGCATATTTCGGGATGTTCTGGAAAGAACAATATTTTTGGGGCCTCCGTTTTCATTATCCAGCTTATTCTACATACGTCAGTTTGAAAAGCAATGAAAGCTTGAAAATCCTGGGCTAAGGAATCAAAATTTACCTGAATGTGAATCTCATTGAGACCAGGCTTGAGCTCGCAGTGTACCACTCGCTTCAATTCGGCACGGTCTGTGAAGACAATCACGCTGTCCAGCTCTAGTTCTCGGCACTGCTTTTTTATGACATTGGGTTCTTGAGTCATCTATGATTCTTAACAGGAAAGAATTTAAGCAATGGTAATTATGAAGCAAGGAATACAGATTTTTGGAAAGCAGAGATCCGGCACTTTTTTTTTGCGCGATTCGAATGGAAAAAAATCTGCGATCTGCTGGGAGAAGTTGTAATCAATATTTCCGATAATTCTCTTAACTCTCCATTATTATACCTCTTACACGTAAGAGAATCCCTAATGTTTGAGAATACGTACAAACATATCATGGCAACGTTCCAAAGTATTAATACAAGTATTAATATAATCCATTGAAAATGATACTTTACTCAAGTTGATATACATGAGAGTCGATATATATCGATGACTGCACCTTTGTTTTAAAGGTTACGGTAGCAGTACTGTGAAGGTGCTTTTGCAGGTTTGCTGCAGAATGTTCGCAAGAAACAGCGAGTCACATAATCAGATTTATTGTCATTTTACACAGATTTGACTATTTTCGAGTAGTTGTATAAAATAAAAAGATAGGAGATATGCATACATAAGTTTCCTTGTCAAAACCTAAGCAACATTCTCGAAATATTCAGCAAATTCACAGCTTGGTAGGAGCTGCTCAGTGTTAATAACATATTTATGCATCCAATTATTGTCGCACATGGAGTGGTTCAATCTTGCAATTCTCGGAAGTTGTGACTCCTGCAGTGTTTCGCGGATGTGAATGAATTCAAAAAACAAGTTGTGAAATCGATGGCTGGCGTGGAAAAGTGCATACGAATTGATTTCGACGCTAGCACCAGTGCTGCAATTGGCAGTGAGTCAGACAGTGCAGTAATGCCTTTGCACAGCCTTGCTGTCTCACCCTCGTGTTTGCGAAAATAAAAAAACCTGCTGAGAAATGTCTTACAGCAGCAGAGTAAATAGGACAAAAGTTAGACAAAATTTTGTATTTATCAAATTGAGGGATCTTTCGCAAGATTTTGTACATGTACGAACGCATTCTGACTGGAGCATTCTAAAAATTTTGTAATATCCAAAAGACTGCTTATGAAAAGTTCACTTGAGGGAGGTAGGAGACAAAGTCGAAAGAATGATGCAGACACGAGTGTTGAACTTTCTTGCTGAGATCGTCGGCATCCAAACAGGCCGGTACCGGTACGAACTGAGCTTTACAGTATGACTACCGTACCTTTGCAGTAGGCCACCGTCGCAACAATAAATGATTATCGTATACAGCAGATTTCCTAAATTATTGCACATCGTGAATCCACCTTATCCTGCTTTGTGCCACCAACGGCGAATGGAAGTAATTACAGCATATTGTTCAATCTCAAAGCAAATTTTCAGAAGAAGAGTTCAAAAGGAGCATCTACGGTACACCTAAACTACCGCAGTGAGTCAAGACATGCACCATATCAGTAAATGCGTCACATCAGACTCAATCTTCGAATAATGACGAATGAAACGAAAGCTTAACCAAAAAAGCGGAAATCGTGGGCGCATGTGCATACAAAAATGAGTGCCCTTTTCAGGCATGACTGGTTATCAAGAACATGCAGGTTTGAAGCTTTATCCAAAACTTTCAAGCACGTTCAATAAAAAGAGCTGATGAGCCACTGGTTGAGAGAAAAGATTCGTCCCTCAGCGGCGAAACACCAAGACTATTGCAGAATTATAGTCCTACTGAGTATGGAAGTGAAAAGTGAAAACGTTCATCCTTAGGTAGTACCTTCTCATACGTGAGATAACTACATCTTTTTTACTTTCCTCTAGCTTTCCTCGCATAATAAGAGCATTCATACTTCTGTCGATAGAAGCACCCCAATACTGCCAGATATTCATTAGGATCTCTTATTTGCAAACCATCGTTCAGGAATTAGCTCTACAACTGACTATTTTCATTTAATCATTTATTTATCCAATGCACTATAAGTCTTTAGCCGGACATTCAGCAATAAAGGAAAGCTACGTTTTAATTCTAAAAAATCAGGGTGTGAACTTGAATGCCGGTATCATGAGAGGCAGTAAAGTAGGATTCAGTGAAAACTGTGAAAAAACCAGGGTGAGTGACTTTTCATACGATGAGCAATTTCGAGGTGCGAGGTGTGAACACCTACGGCTAAGTGTCAAGTCTCGCACCTCCGTGTCTAGTATACTGTAGAGAGGGGGGGAGGGACTTTTCATACGAATGCCTCCACATCATCTTTTGGCAAAGATCCAGTAAAAACTGGCACCATGCCAGATTTGGGCCTCTGGCTCCATTCCAAAAAAAACATCTAGATTAGCTTTTGCAGCACCGTAAATTTGGATAAATTTGGAAAACTTGAATACTGTATGGATTCAAAAAGTGTTTTGCTGTGAAAATAACACTATGATCGTTCCACTTACGAATTTTTTAGTATTCAAGTCGACATAATTCGGTCTTTGCAAACGTTTTGAACTGGTTTGAGTATTGTCAAATGCCTCTCCGAGCTTTCAGCATGACCTGGAAGTGTTACTCTTCCCATAAGATATTGGAGGGGGAAGACGGTCAAGAGGCGCGATTTTTCTGGGTGTCATCAACTTGAAACTCCGGTTTCATGCTATGGGGAAATTCAAAAAGTGCCGGACAAAGTTCATTGGCTTACTAGCTGTTTGAGGTAACCACTTGATAAGTTTGACGACTTTTGCTAGAAAACTGACAAAAATATCTACAAAATTGCTGTTAACTGCATTTATATGTGTTTTTGACCTTTAACAATTTTGTTTGAAATCGGTTTCAAGATGATGAGATTGAACAATCCCTAAATTCCCTGATAGGTATATTTCTTTCGAAATTTCAAGTAATTCTAGAACTTCATAAAACACTAAATATGTGCTATATGCTGCCCATCTGGCAAGAGGAATCGCGCCTCTTGACATATCTACACCCATTGAAGGGTAAGCGACTCGATAAAGCGAACTATTCATTACCACAATTGTGCCAGTTGTTTGCGAAAATGACTTCGCTGTGGCCTGACGATCTCGCTAAGCTTTATGCAACAGATAAAATCAAGATATTCTTTAGTTTACGCATTTTTGATAATAAACGTTTCATTTTAGTCCATTGTAATCGATAATTGGACGTATTACCAGCACCCTAGTATATGCTAGAAGGTCAAAGTGATCGGGGAGCGTTCGTATGAAAAGTCCCCCCCCCCCCCAAAAAACCATGGTGTAAGCCACCACGCTGGCAGAATTCTGTTAAGGGTTCTACTGATATTACGATCTTGCATTTTCAAAATTTATAGCTTTTATTCTGAAAAGCCATTAACTGAGCATTTTCATTTGTGCGGTTCCTATCATGACCTGGGCCTTTTATGAATGTTTGAAACGTTTTGCCATATTTATGTTAGAGGGCTTTTCTTCGGAAGCTCTACCCAAAAGTACGAGTAGAGAATTAAATTGATGTTATTTACCTCTTTCTGGCTACAAATAGTTTTCGTGTCAAGAAAACAGGTACATGGCGAGTGAGACCACCACAAAAATTAGTCAAATTACTATTCTCTGCATACTTCTTTGCTCTTTTTGTTTTACAATCCCTTGTTCCAAACGAGTCTTCACTGGGTACAGAAAACGGGTGTGAACCACTTAGATAACAACGACCAGCTAAAAATCAGCGTGAATTGAATTTGGAAAAAGTGCCAGGTAACGTTTTGACCTTATGGAGGCACAACTTCAGCCAGAATACATACCAAAATTAGTTATAACTCAGTGCCCACTCCCGAAATAAGCATAATGGTCGACTATTCATAATTTCTTGAGTAAAATTTAATAGCAGCTTCCCAGCGATTCGGGTCTAACGTTTATTTTCGCTGTCTACGATTACTTATAATAGAGGTTTAGATGTGAGAATTTTTTTGGTTACGTAGCGGATTCATAGATAATTAGAACAGCCTACTCAAAAGCAGTTGCTCTCACAAAGCTTTCCAGGACCTTTCTGGCCATGAGAGAGCCGAAAATGGACCATCTTTAGTTTTAAGATTGATGCTGCTCATGTGGGTTGATTCTTCTACAAAATGCAAGGAACTCGCTAATATAGACACTTTTCACTAACCCCGTATGATGTGAGTTCTTCCTAACGAAGCTCGACCAAATACGCTAAAGTTAAGATTTCTGTAGACATGATGTAGCAGATAAAGATTAACTAGTGATTTTTTTCTTTACAACAGCAGTTTCTACTTCAAAAGGCATTCAGACAGTTTCGGTTCAAATCTGTTGTAACTGATCCTCACTGTTTTTCGGTCTGATCTAAATAAAACTGTTTACTTCCCTAGTTTCATTATTGACTGCATACTCTTCCATCCCAATTGTGGTGAGCTTCATTCTCAATTTCTCGACCTCTGCAGTTGGTTAAATACTCGTCACGCTTTGTAGCAATAGTGCGTTCCTATTGCGACTTGCTGCAAAAAGAAACTTCTAGCACCTGTTTAAGGTTTATGGTATTGTGCGTAGTGGAAGCTGTGGCCACAGCAGTTTTATTAACTTATAGCGCCTTGAGTTGCGCACGATCAGGTGCGGGAGGAAGCCGTAGCAGTGAGCAGGCGTTTATACTACAAGAACCTCTTTTATAACGAGGTTTAGGGCGAATGAGTGAGGATAGCACACAAGGAAAAGAGACAGAAGATATGCGGGAAGATAACGTGTCTGAAGAACGGAAAAATTACGATAAATTTCAAAGAAATAGTGCAGAATCGAGCAGAGTATGTAAATTTTGTACAAACTCAGCAAGCTAAAGAGATGTGGCCTTTAGCAAAGCAGCCTTTCGACAAGCACTTCTGAAAGGTCTTCAGCGTCAGGAGAAAAAAGTAAGCTCTGAGTGACTTTTTCTGCCATACTTCCGTCTAAAGCTCAGTAAAAAAACTTTCAGGAAAAAGTAAGGAAGGTGGAGGATTGTTCAAATTTCTGAAGAAAGCAAGCCGTGAGAAAACAAAGGACACGCAGGACTCTATCAGCGGCGATTTACGAGAAGGGCGAGCTGGGAGAAAACAGAGGGGCCGCGCGGCTCCCAAGCAGGGGCAACAGCCATATGGACAGCAGCAGATGGGGCAAAAGCCGTACGGGCAGCAGCCATACGGGCAACAACCTTATGGGCAGCAGCAATACGGACAACAGGCTTATGGGCAGCAACAGTACGCTCAACAGCCGTACCAACAGCAACAGTACGGTCAACAAGGTTATCAACCTTATGGAGCTCAACCAGCATGGCAAAAGCCTCAGCAACCCGGTCCCAAAGGCAAAGGATATATCTTTGACAAAGATGAATATTTTGCTAATCCAGCAAAGCCATGGGAGGCACCAAAAGCGGATCCGAATATGTATCCTCCGCCTGCAAATTTCCCTGGTGGCCCACCACCGCCACCACCGCCGCCACCACCGCCGCCACCACCAGTTCCGGGGAAACCGCCACCTGGATTCTGTGACCCGTGGGCTGACAACAAGAATGATAATGATCCGTATTTTGCCCCTCCAAAATGATACTTATAAGTACTACTAGATTTGCATTGTTCCTAATTAATATACATTCAATTCGCTAAACGATATTCAAAGAAGTAGAGCGAATAAATACTTTGGAATGCTTGTTGTTAGTGACCACAAGCATCATGGCGAAAAGAAAAATTTTGTCCTATGTAGTGGCTAACAGCTACCTTTGATATGACATTGCGTTTACCATGTCAGTAATAGTGAATCAATGATTTGCAAAATTTTGGCTAGACGCCGAATGAAAAGATTTGCTATACTCAGCCGAGCACAACAGTTAACAGCTACAACGAGTCATCTCTCTATAACAGCTGAAATGAGCTCCCTAAACCAAATTACTTCGAACTTTCACTGTATAAGGAAAAGGAGTTCCACAGCGTTCGCTGGATCTTGGAAATGGCTGTAACTGCGACCGACGTTTTCTCTCCAAAGTTGTAAGTTCTTCTGTGGATGACGAGAAGTAAGCATTATACGAAGCTAGCATAATGCGAGAAAAAGTTATTTGATCCGATCTGCTTCCATAGGGCTATCCTAAGCCCATGAGAAGCTCAAGACAGACATGTGTCTTCGTCCATATGCAAGTTCAAGTTCAGTTGCAACTACAGTACCCACACTAATTATTCGACAGAAAACGCAAAAACTGACGATCCGCGTTTTTTTCGTTTTTTCTTCATAATTTCCTTCAGATTGCATAAAATACAAATCCGAAGAAAGCATGATGCTCAGCTCGTCAAGATGAATCTTCTAATATATTGCACTCTCGTACTATTCTGTTTTCAATCTGCTCGATTTTTGTGTGAGGACGGGTATTCGTAGTGGTGTAACTCAGCGAAGGACACACATGGACGATTCAAGTAAACATGGGTCAGTAGTGCTGTCCCCGTAGATTATCATGTTTTAGTGAGTAGCGAAAGATTCCCTTTCCATAGGGAAAGATAGGCCGTTTAATTTTGAAAAAATCGATGTCTCTCAATTTTCGTTACCGTAACCCTACAGTAAGACGCTAATTTGCAAAGCAGGTGTGTTTTTCGTGTTCAGCAGGTTAGATAACCTCTATGCGCAAGTTTTCCAAGAAACTCAGAACCTTTCATTTTTTCTCGTTCTAAGCTGTGAAGCTCGCCGACGGGTTTTGGCTAAAATATTGATGATCTTGGATTGACCGGGAACTTCGCCCATAGAGGTTTTCGGACTCGCTGATTACAGAAATAGTGTCCTCTGTGCAGCATAAGTTCTTTTGGCAGAGTTATGCTGAGAGGAATGCTGCGATACTACGCAAGTTCCTAAGTTTGTCTGCCCTTTGCGCGTGTCTGTTGGACAACTTACCTGCTCCTTTTTGTAATTTGAAATCATTAGAGGTATGCTCTTAGATCATGCTTGAGCTAGGCCCTTACCTATATTGGTCGCCGAACTGTGAGCTGACGAACTCACGTCCGCATGAAAATCGTTCGAAATTTTAAGATCGCACATTTCGGCCAAATATCGCCGCGAATGGTTACAGATGACTCTGATTGCAGATATTATGTTTATATACACATGTTAATTGCTAATTTATGCCTCATACTGCTGCTTACCCCTTGTGCCAACTCTTACACCTGTAACTCAAAGTTTGCAAAAAATCGATAAGCCGATATCGACCGATGACGAAATGTAATCTATCAACAGTTCGGCTCCTAAGGCTAGGTTTATACTAATTCCCATGTTCCGGAACTATTCCCGCACAGTCCCGCAATGTTCCCGCACTGTGCTGGGAACTGTGCGGAAACTGCAACTGTGCTGCATGCGCTGCAGCCGCCCCGCATGCGTTTTGAACGGCGGGAGTGGAGACTTTTGACCGTTTTCAACGGTTTTTCTTCCAAATTTCTCTCATTTTGGCCTTATTTCTCTACCCCGCTCCTTTTTTTTGATCAGCAGAACTTCGAGCTCCAACAGGGGTTAAACAATGAGCGCTTTTCTGTTCTGCGTATGCGACAAAATGTGTGTTCTTGCGCTCGTCCACTTTATCTTCGCTTTATTTTTACACAGACTCATTCCATTTGTTCCAGGAAGCCCCTGCGTAGTTTCCATAGCCATCTGCTATGAATTAGGGAGTAGGAGCAATTCCGAAATTGCATGAATTGAGACTTGTCTCTTGTTTTGATGAGTTTCGTTTTTGGGCATTCTCCGCCCCTTTCCTTTTTCCATATCGTTGTTTCTCCTTTCTTCTATCCCGCTTCTCTTTGTGATGAGAAAAGCTGTGAACTTGAAGCGGAGTTGAGGATTGAACGCGGTTCTCATCATGTATCCGGGAAGATGAACCTTCTTGCGCTCGTCCATCTTCTCTGCCATTTTTGTTGATGCCTACTTCATGTGTTCTAGAGACCCGTCCATGTCCCTTTCAAAACAGATGCGAGACTACGCAGCGCCTTCAAGAACACATGAAGCAGGCCTGGACAAAAATGGAAGAAAATGGACAAGCGCAAAAAGAGCAATCTGCCCGGATATGGAACAGAACAAGGTTATTTCTTTAACTCGCTTTAATTTCACACCTTTTCTCATCACAAGGAAAGGGGTGAGAATGGCCAAAAAGAAAACTCATCAGAAAACAAGAGAAAAGTCCCAAATTATGCAACTTCAGAATTGCTCCTACTCCTTAATTCATAGCAGATGGCTATGGAAACTACGCAGGGGCTTCCTGGAACAAATGGAATGAGTCTGTGTAAAAATAAAGCGAAGATAAAGTGGACGAGCGCAAGAACACACATTTTGTCGCATACGCAGAACAGAAAAGCGCTCATTGTTTAACCCCTGTTGGAGCTCGAAGTTCTGCTGATCAAAAAAAAGGAGCGGGGTAGAGAAATAAGGCCGAAATGAGAGAAATTTGAAAAAAACCGTTGAAAACGGTCAAAAGTCTCCAACTCCCGCCGTTCAAAACGCGTGCGGGGCGGCTGCAGCCCATGCAGCACAGTTGCAGTTCCCGCACAGTTCCCAGCACAGTGCGGGAACATTGCGGGACTGTGCGGGAATAGTTCCGGAACATGGGAATTAGTATAAACCTAGCCTTAGGAGCCGAACTGTTGATAGATTACATTTCGTCATCGGTCGATATCGGCTTATCGATTTTTTGCAAACTTTGAGTTACAGGTGTAAGAGTTGGCACAAGGGGTAAGCAGCAGTATGAGGCATAAATTAGCAATTAACATGTGTATTTAAACATAATATCTGCAATCAGAGTCATCTGTAACCATTCGCGGCGATATTTGGCCGAAATGTGCGATCTTAAAATTTCGAACGATTTTCATGCGGACGTGAGTTCGTCAGCTCACAGTTCGGCGACCAATATAGGTAAAGGCCTAGTTCAAGCATGATCTAAGAGCATACCTTTAATGATTTCAAATTACAAAAAGGAGCAGGTAAGTTGTCCAACAGACACGCGCAAAGGGCAGACAAACTCAGGAACTTGCGTAGTATCGCAACATTCCTCTCAGCATAACTCTGCCAAAAGAACTTATGCTGCACAGAGGACACTAGTTCTGTAATCAGCGAGTCCGAAAACCTCTGTGGGCGAAGTTTCTGGTCAATCCAAGATCATCAATATTTTAGCCAAAACCCGTCGGCGAGCTTCACAGCTTAGAACGAGAAAAAATGAGGTTCTAAGTTCCTTGAAAAACTTGCGCATAGAGGTTACTAGCTGGCAAACCCGGCTCCGCCCGGCCCTGTCATTATTATATTCGTAATCAGCATGCTCGATTACCCCCCTGTGCCAACTCCCAGCCCCGTAGCTCAAATTTTGCAAAAAATCGATAAAATCGATATCGATCGATAACGAAAAGTAGCCTATGACACGCTCCCTGCCCCGAAGTATATGTGTGCCAAGTTTGGTCCTAATCGGTTCAGAAATAAAAATTTCTATTCCGCACATACGTACAGACATACATACACACAGACAGACATTCAGCTTTATATATAAGATCTAACCTGCTGAACACGGAAAACACACCTGCTTTGCAAATTAGCGTCTTACTGCAGGGTTACGGTAACGAAAATTTGAGAGACATCGATTTTTTCAAAATTAAACGGCCTATCTTTCCCTATGGAAAGGGAATCTTTCGCTACTCACTAAAACATGATAATCTACGGGGACAGCACTACTGACCCATGTTTACTTGAATCGTCCATGTGTGTTCTTCGCTGAGTTACACCACTACGAATACCCGTCCTCACACAAAAATCGAGCAGATTGAAAACAGAATAGTACGAGAGTGCAATATATTAGAAGATTCATCTTGACGAGCTGAGCATCAGGCTTTCTTCGGATTTGTATTTTATGCAATTTAAAGGAAGTTATGAAGAAAAAACGAAAAAAACGCGAATCGTCAGTTTTTGCGTTTTCTGTCGAATAATTAGTGTGGGTACTGTATTGTAATTGGCGTCTAGCGCATGCTAAAGAAAACTTAAGCCATTGACTATATTCAAATCGAGCTATTTACTCACTTTGAGTTCTCATAATGCGCAGAAACGACCAAGCCATTATCATGACTTATAATAAGCGGCTTAATCTGAAGTTGTGTGGAGTTTGTCCATTACGAAATTACAGTGAGGAATGATTTACGATACTAAACATCATGTGAGGTTAAGATAGCGAGTATGGTTCATTTTTAACTACGGCTCACTTTGCAATAAATCGAACAATGATTTGAGAGACAAGCTCTCAGAAAGTGAGTTTATCACGGTTCACGATGCCAGTGCGAACCTCTGCGAAGCAGAGGTGAAGCACTGGTCTTATATATAAAGCTGAATGTCTGTTTGTCTGTCTGTCTGTCTGTATGTCTGTCTGTTTGTCTGTCTGTATGTCTGTCTGTATGTATGTTCCGAATAGAAAATTCCATTTCTGAACCGATCGGGACCAAACTTGGCACACATACACTTCGGGCCACGGCGGGTGTCATAGGCTACTTTTCGTCATCGATCGATATCGATTTTATCGATTTTTTGCAAAATTTGAGCTACGGGGCTGGGAGTTGGCACAGGGGGGTAATCGAGCATGCTGGCATGCTCGATTACACCCCTCTGCCGAATTTCAGCCACCTAGCTCAAATTTTGCAAAAAATTGATAAAATCGACATCGATCGATAACGAAACGTGGACAGTGACACCCGCCGGGGCCCGAAGTGTATGTGTGCCAAGTTTGGTCCGGATCGGTTAAGAAATGGATTTTCTTTCAGAACATACGGCGGAGCCGGGTAAGCCAGCTAGTCGTGTTATAAAACAGTATGGTGTACGTAAGTACACAAAAGTGTTATTGCATTTCTTATGCGTTAGTTAATCAAAGACTGTTCATGGAATCAAAAAGGTGAGCAGGGCAATGTAATTAAGAAGAAGAAGCAGAAGTTATTTCGAAAACATTATCTATCAAAAGACCAAAATCATGAAAAGAAAACTTCGTGGATGGTACGTACACGGTAATGGCAGGCACTTGAGTCGAAATGCTTTGTAAGATGCGTATAAATGTTGATTGAACATCACTATCATAAGTCTTCTTCTCACTGATTTGTCATAGCTAAGCTTGAACAGAGCAACAGGGTCCAACATGAAGGTGAAAAGCCAGGCCAGAACACAATAGCTACCATTGTAATGTGCGAAAAGATCAAATTATGAGGGCTTTTCTTTGCTGATGATACTTGAAAAGTATTGAGTGGGTTCTTGTTTTGCTCAAATTTTTGCTCGAATTTATGGGCAGAACAACGCATGACCCTTTGATTCAACTGGCTTGGCGGCTGGAAGGCGGGGCTTCGCGGCCTTGTTAACTCTAGATAATGATCAGAGGGCACGCGCGCGAGAGAGACGCAGAGTACGTAGCGGGCGCGAGCGGCCATGGTATTAGGTCACTAAGCTCGCCTTCCAGCCGCAAAGCCAGTTGAATCAAAGGTTACGAGCCGAAAACAATAACGATTGAACGAGAGAAGTTCAAAGGACGCATCGGAAAACAAGTTGGCGTCAATGCACAAAGTTTCTTACGAGGGAAGAATACTTGGTGAGCGTGGCTTTTTTGAACGAAACGTATATCTCAAATTCACCTCAAAGCGCAGATTACAAATCTGTTTTTGGTATTTGCTGTACTTTTCCGGAAGAAGTTATAAACATCTGACACCAAAATCTGCACTCTTTTGATGACAGAATTCACCAATATCGTTAGAATGTTCACTTACGCTGTACAAAGGAGCGTCCAGGTAAAGTAAAGTTTTACGCTAAGCTCAGAAAATATGTCTTTGATATATTAGAATCTAAAAAGTCCGGATATTGATGATTTTAAATGCCTAAATTTTGTGAAATTAATATAGAAAGAAGTCCATAACTTGAGAGTAGCACAGCAGATAATAAACACAGATTTGAAATTAGCATTTCGAGGCGCATCTATTGCATCTATCGCATCTATTCATCATCTCATCTTTGCAAAATGCTACGGTCACCGAGTATCCTCATTCATTCTCTGAGTAGACCAACAATTTCATGAATGAGATCTAACGCGTCTTGATTGATTCCTATCAAGAATTCGTGAAAGAACGTGTTCAAGCCAGCGTGGATTAACGAGGTCAAACATTTTCTTCCACAGGTTCTAATAGTGAATCAACCAAAACGCGTAAAACTCATTCATGAACTTGTCAAAGAAGGGTACGGAAAACGTGCTCGCGTCTCTTAGTGAGAGAATAAATGATAATATCTTTGCTAAGAAGAAGAAGGTATTCGTTTTGACAAGTACTAATCAAACTAGGCTACCCTACGGGTCGCTAGCAAGTGGGTTGGGGCAGATACATTGATAACTGTCTGCGCAACTAAAAATAGCAAGAGAATGAATTCCCATTTTCCCACCGATCTTTTTCGCAATGCAAGCAGTAGCTGAAGTAAGATTATGGTCTCAAGGAAACTTTTCACAGTGAGTGACTCTTAAATCATCTACGCTGTTCTTCTTGCAACTACCCTATTGAGATACCACAGCTATTAAACATGGAGACCACCTCAGCCGTCATCTATGTAGAACAGCTGATTCAACCCGAAACTCAGGCTGACACTCAGGAACTGTGAAACGGCCGCTAACACACCGAGCTTCACGATCATGCACAGTCCTATACTCTCCCTATTACGTCTCGCCAAGAAACGGTCAATTCTTAAGGCGAGACCAAAGTTCGCTCAAAGCTTTTTCTTGGATAATCCTAGCAAAAATGTCCGGTCGCATGAGCCCTCTGGGTATTCAAGAGTGAATTTCAAGCGAGCTTCTGCATGATTTAGCATTGAAACTGAAAAGTCCTCAGCCTAAATGCACTGCCGAATAAAGTCCTGAAGCTTTCCCTTCTTCGAGACTTATGCTTTTCAAAGCAGAAGTACGTTTTTCGCAAGATAAAAGCGGCCAAACTGAATTTCAAGCCCTTCTTGTGACATTCAGCACTGAAACCTAGGGAATTATATCAAAAATGTACTGCCGCATGAACACTAGGTCTTTTCTTCCATTAAGACAAGCTCCCTCTGCTGTGTTTTTATTGGCGAAAGTAGGGATTTCACAAAGTAGAGGTTGCCAGAAACAAATGCAGCAAGTTTCTGTGAATTTTCACATTGAAATCTAGTCGGAAGAAATGTGTTTTCGAGTGGATATGTTGGGTCTTTCCTTCCAGCAGACCGAGCTCCCTCTGCTCATTTGTTTTCAGAGGCAACAACAATATTTACACAGTGTAAAAGCATCCAAAAGTAAGTAATATTTAACAGGTTTTTGTGAGATTCAGCATTTAATCCTACAAATTTAGCAAAATGTTCCTAGAAATTAAGAAAAACGTATTACCAAATGAATCGACTGATTCTTTTCTTCCAACGGAACGTAGCTCCCCCTGTTTTTTTTTCTATTTCCAGAGGCAAAAGCAGTATTTTCAAAAAGTACACTCCCCGTAAACTTGATAGGTTATATTATCCTACCCTAACTCTCATATTGTTCAAAATCATAATGTGCTTTTCGAAAACTCATGACTGTAAGAAGTTAGGCAGGATAGGAAGCAAAATGGGCGACAGTTTTCCAAATTATGATAGCAACTGGGGGTCAGACATTTGCACTAAATCTTAGTCTGGAATCAATATTTCGTTGTTGTTTGGCTCTGTACATGACACGCGCTTGATCCCTTCTTTGCTTGTTTATGAATGAGGAGGTGATCTTTGACGACTGTTGCCCATATTTGCACTTTCCATGCGGAGCAAGCTCTATAATTTGCACTTAAAGTGCATACAGTCTGGAAACTAACTAGGAACGCCGTCAACTCTACGTCGCTGTTATGCAAACTATGTGGATCCTCCTAGAGTGCATGTGCTCTCCGGTACTCTCCGGGGTTTCTCAGCACATCCGTGTTAGATGTATCGCAGTTATATTTCGTCGCCGCATAATCTGGACTGCCCTCGTAGTCGCGAATCTGCTGTTAACACTGTAAGAGAACACATAGCACAACGGTAAAGCATATGGGGGAGGAGAGTACCCTCGTCGCATCGCTTTGGCAGTTACCAAAAGATATTATAGTAAGATTCCTTGGTCCCCCCCCCCCCCCAGTTATCACAAGAACCGTGCTTACGTTAGTTTCCTAAATCATTCTGGAAAACACGGTCTTCATTCTTCCCGACTTCCAAATCAGGCATACTCTTTAGAATTCAAAGCGTTGAGTTTTCTTCTTTCAAGGTACCCCTTTTCCCCTCCCCCTCCCAGTTCTCTCTCGCAAGCCTTACGCCGTTTCTAGGTGGTCAGTCAGAACTGCTACATTCTAAACTCAACATTCCAAAAGTTTGCGCGTATAGTTACTCTTGAGTCGTACCAAAAGTCTGCCATCTCTTACCTATTGGATGAGCTTTTTCCTCGTAAGTAAAATACTCATAATCACTGTAATATGCGCCTTAACGCTGTCCTTGCAACAAATTATATCCGGGACTCGATATTTTCTCATACCTAAACGCTCAAAACTCCTTCTATACATCTTTCGGCAGGTAATAAACATATACCGAAATCAGCGTTTCAAAGCGAGTCCGAATATAGCTTGCTTGGATTGGCTGGGTTGATTTCTGACTGTTTTCTGCAGCTGATACCAAATTCAACATATGTACTGCGCGGCTTTCTAAAGAAGGTATGGACGCCTGAAGATCTAAATTCGGCAAACTATTAGTGCCACAACTTCAAAAGATGTTCAAAAATGTTTATTTATATTGCCGGTGTTGTGTATTTTTCCTACTCAGTACATCGGCACCATGTGATTGTGGACTCTCAAGCTGTTTTTGAAGCACATTATGCATTAGAACTCTAATAACTTACCACAATTGATCGGTCATAACTTCTTCCAGAGAATCGCGCAGCAAAAATGGAAGGTAGACTTGTCAGCTTAACAAGACACAGTGATACGCATTTTATTGCGGAGCCACGACCACTTGGTCCTTCCCTTGTTAATGCAGAACAGTGGCATAAGTGGCCCGCAACCCACTAAATCTATCATCTGTCAGTGCAGGCACTTACTTAATCTTGCGTTTCGGTTGTAATTGTTGTTTGAAAGCATTGGGCTTTGCTCTGTGTTCAACAATAGGTTTGGTCGGACAAATTACTGATGTATTTTCAACTTTTCGGATTCTGAGAAGGCAAAGTTGCCGAGACGTTTATGTGTCGGTGAGTTCGAGAGTAGATCTTATTTTATAACAGTATAATCAGAAGAATATCAAAGCCAAGATTTATTGATAATCCAACATGATCCCGAAATTGATATCTTGACTAGTTGCCTTTGAGTAAAGGCAGACTTATAAGTCACTCACACATCAGAAGAATGTGCGCCGCACATAATAGATTCCCACTCCCTTACGCCTACAGAAGATAGATTTTATTGTCTGTTTTACTGTGCTGAAAACTACCTCTTACAAGCTCCACAATCCAGATCAATTTCATCTGTCCTTACCTGTTGAATAGAAGGTAGGGTAATAGGAGCACATCGTAATAAAGTATCGTTGAGTGGTGGTCGGCAATGATTTTCCATTCGCTGGTAGTCTCCAAAGAAAAATGCTCCCAATATACAAAGAATAAAAATTCCAGCACTGATACCAATGCAGCCTGCAACTCGCTTGTAAGGACTTGTTGCAATTTGATTCACGTGTAAAACTTACCTGCATTGTTATTCGTATACCGTAACCTTTGCCAAACGAGAGTTTTCCTCTCACAGAAAGTACTATCAACAATGTGCAGTAAGTTACCACATTTCCGACCCCAACCAAATAATTAGACACTGTCTGAGTTCTAAATTCTCGTTTGGAGAAAAAAAAACATCGTTGCAAAAGATCTGTTTCTTGTATTCAACAACAACGACCAACAACATAATATAAGTCATTCTCACTAAGATCTTTTCAATGTCAAAGTATACTGGAAGGCAGTGTCCGGACAAAAACTCGGTTTAGTAATTTTGTGCTTACTCGAGCCTATTCGCTACGTTGATTTCGAAAATGCACATTGGAGAGCGCGAAAACAGCGAAAAACGGCTCTAACACAGGAGGGAAATCAGTAAATGGGCGGGGTCCTCTCCATTGCGAATTCACGCTCCCAGCTTTCGGAGCGACCTCCTCGCTTCCGCTTTCAAGTCAATCTTTTGCACTTGGCCGGCAGCGACATTGGGACGGCCAGTGGAATGGAGGAAACCGCTCGGAAAGCTGGGAGCGTAAATTCACATTAGGGAGCAGCAGGGAGGATCCCGCCCACTTACCGTTTCCCTCCTGCACTAGAAGCCCTTTTTGCCAATTTCGCGCTTTTCAGTATAGATTTTCGGATTCAGCATGGCGAATAGGCCCGAATAAGCCAAAATCTCATCGAGTTTTTGCCCGGACATTGCCTTTAAAGGCAGTGTCCGGGCAAAAACTTGATTTCAGAAAATCACTTACCGGGGGTTATCCGCAACGCTGAATCCGAAAATCCATATTAGAAGGCGCGAAAACGGCGAGAACATACGTTTTCCAAAGCAGCCCAATTCGAAATTCGACGGTTCCCACCAAGGCAGAGACGCAGAGTCGCTGCGGGTCCCTACATTTTAACTATGGTGGCTTGCGCACTCTGCTGCATAGCAGGTTTCGGACAGCTCGCGACCCCGCCCCTAGGCGTAAGTTTCCCCACTTTCCAGTCGTTTTTCTTACTATAAATCGAACGTTATGACGTCGCACTTACGCAATGTTGTGTCTGAGGGGGCCACTCTCGCATGGCGGTGAAATCCCAAAACCCCCATCTTGCCTGGACACTGCCTTTAAACTCAATAAAATTCTTTGTAATTTTGGATGCTCCCAAGTTCCGAGTCACAGGTTCTTGAGATAGTTGCACAAAGCAGCTTTGAACATCCAAACCATAGTTCGGAATTTATCGCTTTGTGAATTCACAGGAAGGAAAAGTTAGAGTTTGGAAAAAGCGCGGGCGAAGCCCTTAAAGACTGCGTTGGCCCACGTCTGGATTTGCGGGATTCTTGTGCTATGCCGTATTAAAGACACCGACTAGCTTTTTTTGAGTGCGAAAGTAGAACATAAGACAGAGGACAAAGCCGGTTGATAGCTGGGACATTCATGTCACACCGACTTTCTAAATCAAAGTAACAATATAACTTTGTGTCTTTAAGCAGTTTGAGCTCATATATACTCGTCTATATTTGAAACAAAGGCTTCGTAAAAAAAGCTCATTTTCATACTTTCGTGCTTTTCAGCATTAATATTGGAATTGTGGGTAAGCTCAGGTAAACGAAAACATGTTGCAAACCAAGCGAAAGCGAAGCCGAGCGAGAACATATGCCTGCAAATTTCTCGCGTTTGACATAGTTGAATGCAAACTTGTCATCAAATATGCCTGACGACAGGATTAGCGCGATATGTTTCGTTTGAAATCTCAGGAAACTGTTGCAATCGCAGAACTCGTTGAATTGGGTTGAGCCAGACTGCTTACAAGTATACAAATCCTGTGAAGATTTCCGTTCTTACATGCGGTTGCAAATCAATAGCGCAGAGCACACTTGATCCCCATGGAGGAATAGTGAGGACGAAAAACACGAAATAGAACGTAAAAGTTGCGACGATCCATGTCTAAAAAAGTTAGGAAAAAACCACGACTAAAATATAAAAAGGCGAATAAAATTCCTTTGCGTAACTATATATATTTAACAATTCTTTTGTCGCATGTTGATTCTAGTTTCTTCTCTATAGAGCTGAATATCTGTTTGCATGCCTGTAAATTTCCACGTCGGTGAAGGATAGACCAGCCTAATCCATTCTGACGAAAGTTTGCCCACATACACTTCGGGGCGAGGCAGATGTTGTAATCTACTTTTCGTTGAAAATCCGACATCGTTTCAAGTTTTTCGCGCTGAGCTAGCTACGGAGCAGAGAGCTGGCACAGTGAGTAAGTGAGATTAATATTGATTACGACAACATAGGGGGTGGGGACAGGGGATCGGCATATAGAAATGAGATACGAGATGTTGTATAAAGTATGAGAAGATCTTTATCATAGTAGACAGGTGAGCGGGAATCTCAGCTAGTATCATATATTTCAAATAAAGAAAATGCTATAATCTATGTCCGATTGCATATGCTTATTTTGCACTGCATTAGTGGTGGAAACTAAAAATGCACGCATATCCGGCTGCCATGCAAGATTGGTTGGAAAAATTATGAAAAAAAAAGTTTACTAAAGACGTTATCAATATAGGTTGAAAATTAAGCGTTTGCAATACCTTCAAGCATTCTGGAGAAGTACTAAATGCACGCAAGCCTTCACAGTAAGTTGCAAGTGAATGCCGGTTTTTGAGTCAAAGTTCAGAGCTCCAGTTCTCTTAGATAACTCCAGGTGCAAATTCATCGTAATTGCGACGAATAAACAACTTGGTTGACCTTAGGGCAAGAAGGTTTGTTTTCACCGGTTTGTTGCACGCTGTGAAATCTTGTCTCGTCATTCAAAAGTCGAGTAAAAAAGTTCTGACTGTATTCAAATGCGCTAAGCATGTGCCACCTTACAAGACAGCTAATGTTGACGTTTGATAAATAAGGAGAAATGTTCGAAAGAAGGGCTCAACAAACCAGTAACGGAACCTTTAGAAGAAAACACCAAGTGATTGAGCACGTGTTGTTAACTTAATATTCAACGCTCCTTTTGCGCTAGATCGGCTAATTATGTAAGCGTTTTAGCAAGCATTCTTTAGAAGTGCGAGCAAAACAAGAGAGCGGTGATCTTTCGCGCTTTTTTAGTTATATCTATGCAACTGCTGGTTAGTTTTCGATGAAAAGTCAGAACGCAGTGACTATCAACTGGCATTTCTGATGGCACAACCGCAGCGCAGTCGCAGCCTACTTGGAGTTTTTTTTCGCAGACTCCACAGATTATGAACGGCAGCTGAAACTAGTTTTGTCAAACACCGCATACATGCGGTGTCTGCCAAAATTGCTATAACCCGTAATCAACTCAGTCCAGAGGAACTATAATACAAACTCAGGTCAACCAGTGACCGCATATTTCGCCATTCTGCTGCCTTCGGTTGTTGTACACGCAAAACTAATAGCATGTGACAAAGCCGTTTCACTTATGAACTTATGATCGGCCATAGATTGCCCAGAACCGTTGGCAAGGTTGCCAGTCGTTGCTAGGCACATAACAAACTGAGAGTACTATGAAGTCCTACAACACCGGCAACCTCGGCAACCGTTGCCGGCAACCTATGGCCGTTGGCTTAAGGTGAGGGTAAGAAAGCCAATGGCTCGAAAAAATTGCGAGCGCGAGTTCTTCACACCTACATTGCCTTCATGTCAAAAAAGTGCCTTTTACGGTGTTTTCTACTCTGGAGATATCTGGAGGGGATGGGCGAGAGATTTCCGCCACAAACAGCGACTGGCTGCGGGAAACTGTAACTTCACTCATTTCGGCTGCAATTGGATGATTGGCTCAGGCAGCCGATTGCGATTTTGGCGGGCATCCCTCGCCCATCCCCTCCAGCTATCTCCAGAGTCGAAAAACGCCGTAAAAACACTTTTTTTTGACTTGTGAAGCACAGCAATAAACTCAAGGCATCCAGAAGGGAAGGTGTGGAAAGCTCGAAGTCGCAATTTTCCCTAGCCGCTGTCTTTGGAAGGTCTTTCTTTGCATTTTTTCACTCATCCAATCGCTAAAAACTTTGCGAGAAATAAAAATGATGCTTGTCCGTTCCAAAATTAAGCTCTTGCTAAATGATAAGCCACATCGTGTAATAATCGGCATGCGCTCTTAAAAATTCGTTACGTGCTGCTCGTCTGCAGAGCATACGATGCCAAAAGAGAACGCTTGCTTGGTTACAACCCAGAAGCCACTGATCGAGAAAAGTCCGAGTTTGCGACCCGTGCGATTTCCCTATACCGAGCGATCTTAGCTGCTCGGCAACAGATGCACTAAAAATACCGAATCTGTAAAAAAAAAGTCTTCGAATCACAAACAGTTTGCTAAATGAAGCCTCACAAAGGTAACGATGCCCATCTCACTGGACTTCACGAGTAGAGGATGAAATTAATACACCATTTGAGTGACTGAGTGAATTACAATTCGGGTGAAACGCAATGCTAGGTTTGCTTATGTTAGAAAAAGATCCCTTGCGAAACACATGTTCAGGCAAACTTTATCATCGGCATTATAAGCTGAAAACTCAGCTAGATGCGACCACATTAGGCCCCTTTGATTCGTTTTTGAGTTGGCTTGAAACAAAAAGTATGATAAAGTTACGGAACATCAATCAGAGATTTAGGAGTTATAATCAATTCCAAATTGAGGTCAGATTTACAGAACATCCGTCACCTCTCGAGCATTTTCCATTTTATTTACAATTTTCCGAAACATCGAAACTGCCGACCTAAAATTTCTGTTGAAACTTTACAAAGCTCTTGTTAATCCTGTGCTTAAATATACAAGCCAATTATAGAACCCCTCCTTGAAGAAATACATCCGAGCCTTGAAAACGTCCAGAAAACCTTAACAAGACTACAATTTCTTCATTGTTTTCCCAGCTGCGCATATCCTCAATCACTGTCAACTTACGAACAGCGTTTAAATGCACTCAATTTTTGACTTTCATATCGTAGAGCTGTGCAAAATCTTGCATTAGCTTTCATGATTTTCAGAGGTGAAACGGAACTGAAGCTCTCCAAATACTGGGTATTTAAACCCGAAGAACTAATACATTTTCTATCTATTCAGCTTACACAAATGGAAAGAATTTCAAGTTTTGCATAAACAGGAATTTTTTGCCTACACGTCAAGAATGTTGGAGCATTTATTACATGACTTTTGATTTGTACTAAGAGTAAATCTTTCGAACGTGGGATCAGAAAGAAAAGATCAAAAAACTTTTCTACAGGTTTTACATAACTTTTATCACTACTATCATAGACATCTCCGCAACGAAGAAGAATGGATAGTCCTTCGAATGTAAACTATCGGTGCGGCTTTGAAAACTGGATTATCATTTTCTTTTATTTATAACAACTATCTTTTGCGAAGAATTTACAAGATACATGTTTCTAATCCATAAGAACCTCTTCACTATGAAAACTGCCTCAGTAGCTACCCATTTCGGTTTACGTCTAGTGGGTTTTTGAATCTGCTACATACATCGTTTGCACGATATGACTTGCCCAATCTTCCTATGTTGGACTACCATTTATCATCTTCTCAATGTTTTCTACTTCAATACATTCTTCATCTAGCGTATCGACATACTGGAACCTCTTTAATCGCTTTATCATTTAAACTACACTGGCTCTGAAGAAGACGATACATTGATTATTACTGTCTTTGAGAGGAAAATACAAAGTCTCTTCAATCTCTAGTCTTCCATCTCATCTCGTTCTATCCCTCTTTCGCTCATCATTCCATGATTATCCTTTGTCCTACCACCACCTAATACAAACTCATTGAATCCACATTTTCTTTTACAAAATTTTCTTCGGTAATGCCTACTCGGCAAATCTTTAGTGCTTTTTGATGTTTCTTTTTTCTTGAAAAGCCAGCTAGATCTGAACTAAATCTGATAAAAATTCATCGTCTTTTGATTTCGTCTCCTGTCAATGGACATCATTCTGTTTTTGATTCATGCCCCCTGTTTTTGAGGCCTCAACCCCTCATGGTCCTCTGCCTCAACGTGGCGAGGGGGTGCCCCTGGGTGTAACAAGAAGGTTCGGAATGACGCGTCAACTCAGCTAAAGCAGATCACCCCAGCTCCTCATGTCAGGGTCCGTTGCCACCTAACTGACAACGCCGGTCCAGTCGCGAGGAGGCAAAAACCGTCAGTGTCACTAAGGAGCGGCGACTACTCCGACACACCCCAGAATGCTCCAGCCCGGCTATCTTGGGTACTGACGGGAAATTTTAAACCTTTGTCAACTTTGAATCAATCGCCCCAGTACTCTGCACACCGTGTTCGTCTACCGCTTGGGACGTCAGATGGCAGCACGGCCTGTGAGGAGCAAAGAAATCTCAGGTGCAAAAGCGAGACGTCAATAAAGAACTTTTCGGCTACAAAACGGATACGACAAAAAATGAAGGCTCTTTTCGACTTTGCACTTACAATGCAAGGACGTTATCTTCAGTCCAAGAGCTTTATGTTCTCACAGACGCCGCAACTCGCATCAAATGCGATGTAATTGCACTACAGGAAACCAAGAACAGAAGCTCGGCCACACTCAAAAGGAAGGATGGAACCCTTGTCATACTAGGAGAGAAGGTTCCCACACGGAACGTCGGAGGAGTGGGCTTTGTTGTGCACCCATCCGTTAGCCACCTCGTCGACTCTTATGAGATTCTGTCACCACGTCTAGCAGTTTTTCTACTTGCCGCTCCGCGTCAGAGAAAGATGAGCATCATCAACTTTTACTGACCTACAGTGCAGCAGATGAAAACGAACTTGACAAGTTTTACGAAGAGCTTGAAGACGCCATTTACAAGGAGAAGTCATTCTACAAGTTCATCGTCGGCGACTTCAACGCAAGGATAGGACAGGCACAAGTCCGAGAAGATGACAGAATTGGGAAATTTGGTCTAGGAAGTCGAAAACAAGAATGGAGACAGACTCGTCGGACTCATCGCAGCGGCTCGACTATTTCATGCAGATTCTTTTTTCCAAAAGAATGAACATCGCCGTTGGACATGGGAGTCACCGAATGGCACGGCACATGCGGAAATCGATCATATTCTCGTCAATGGGAGATGGGGTTTGGTCGATGTTGGAGTGGTCCCGTCGTTCTGCACAGGCTCACCACCGATTACTTCGAGCGAAGATTCGTATCAATCAGAGAATGGAAAGAAAATCTTCCCATCACTCGAAGCTCAGAAGAGAGGCCGTGTTCGACGAGTGCATTCTCGAGAACGCCATTGCCAGATTCGATTGGAAGGAATGCCATGATCCAACAGAAGATCTAGGAAAGCTGATCGAAGGACTGCGCAGCTGTGTTGAGCAGGCAATTCTCACGTAGAAAGAGGTAGTGGACGATTGACGACAACACCAAGAAGCTTCTACAGAAAAGGAGAAGCCTGCATGCAGATCCAAATACACAACACCTGGAGCACGGGCTGATCAACAACATTTGCAGGAAAGCCTGCGAGAGGATCTGAAACGATATCGACAGATGAAACTACTCAAAGCAGCGCAGAACAGGAAAAAATTGAAAGAATCTCGAAAAGATCTACGCGAACACGAACTACCGATACAAGCTCTACTGAGCAAAGACGGAAGATTAGTAAACTCTCGGCGTGAAGCGATAACGGAAGATTTCTACAACGAGCTCTTTTTGTCCAAGGCGCCAGTACCAGATCCTGCCATTCTCACTGGAGAAACAACCGTCAAGGATCCTCCCTTCAGAAATAAGAGCAGCCATGGCGTGCATAAAACCAGGCACAGCTCCTGGTCCAGATGGAATCACCTCTAATTTGTTGAGAGCCGGCGGTCACAAGCTGCACAGTCTACTGGCAACTCATATGACAGATTGCTTGAAGAAGGAAAGGATACCAACCAGTGGAAGACATCTCGCACGATTCTCCTATACAAGAAAGGCGAGAGAGAAGACCTGAAAGAATTACCGACCAATCAGCTTGTTAAGCGTGCTTTACAAGTTATTCACAAAGATCATAATGTCGCGTACCTCGATGACGTTGGATGAAGCACAACCATCTGAACAGGCCGTATTCCGTAGAGGATTCAGCTGCATCGATCACATCCAAGCCGCCACAAGGGTCGTAGAGGTCTGTCGGGAGTACAAACTGCTCCTGGTCCTCACCTTTTTCGACTACGAAAAGGCTTTCGACAGTGTGAAAATCAACGCCGTTCTAAGAGCTTTGATCGACCAAAGAGTCGACCCCACCTACATAGGAACAATAGCGGACTGCAATACAGGATGCACCACAACGATACGCTGTTTGACCAACCGCTCCACATCCATGTTGGAAAAGGAGTCCGTCAAGGCGATACTTGTCGCCAAAGCTTTGTACTGCCGCACTGCAATGGTGTATGCAGTCACTCGATTGGGATGAAAAGTGGAGGATACGAGTGGATGGACAATACCTTTCGAATCTCCGTTTCGCGGACGATATCGCTCTATTCTCGAAATCCGTTAGCGATGCCGAAGAGATGTTGAAC